TATATATATATGTACATGATTAACCGCGCTCCAAATTACACCACAGCGGCAGAAAAACAATTCCTAATGTCATTAGAAATTTAATTGAATTACTGGGAGAAGTAGAAGTGATAAAGGAGAGACCTTAAATATATAAATCTTTTCATAGTTATCAACCTTTCATAAAACTCTTCTTGGTAACATGAGATATCTTTCGTTCTTCTTCCAAAAATGTCAGTACTAATGGTACAAAGATGAATATGAAAATGATGAACACCACAATGAACCAAAGTCCCTGGAACGAATCTTGATAGATTCTACATAAAGCAGGTAGCACTGAGGCCTTCTAACGGATTATGAAAATGCATTAGGGGTACTAACAAATGCCAGTTGCAAGGTTTAAGTTTAAAACGCGACATATACCATGCGACGATTTGCAAGCTATCCGCCACAGAAGCTGTGAACTGATTGGTCTATATTACATAAAAGGACGCCTATCAAAACAATCACCCAAATTCAACTAGCAGAAAAACACGTGAAACATAAAAAATGAACATAATTACCTTGAAAGTAGTGTCAGGAGACCTCGCATCTACGAAATGAACAGTATTATCCGTATTTTCAGTTGATAAACTATCCCGTATTTGAGCAATATATGCATCTGTCTTCTCAAACAATTCCTCGACACTTTTATCAGACAAATTATTGTTATTCAAAAGAGGTCTGCAAAATATCTGATGGAAATAATGAAAGGAATGGATAAAATAGAATAAAGGAATTGTATATGTATATATATGCACATGTATATATACATATATATATATATATATATATATATATATATATATATGTACATAACTATGTCATAGCGTGAAACCCTTTTCAGTGGTACAAAAACCTATTTAGAAAAGCAAATTTTATTAACCTATCATCAGTCAACTCCTCTGCCATCGGTTCTTCACAGTTATCGTTACCTAATAAACTACTTCCGTGTTCCAAATCCAGTTCTTTTTGTAATTTGCTCACTGGGATTTTGATAAATGGCATAGCATAAATATCCTGCTCAGAAACGATGTTGTTGACCCTTTTCAAATCGGATAGCTATAAACGAATTGTTTCAATTCATTTGGTCGATCAATTCAAGAAGAATAAAACATTTCTTCAACACTAATAGATGGAAATGCATACCGAAACGGAATACTGCACGGCAATTCTGTTTAAATTATCACCGGGTCTCAATTTCTTCTCGACAATAATCTGTAATCAAAATAAGCTGCTCATTATAATGCATGGTTGAAAATCAAGGAAACAGAAAATGGAAAAGAAAGGGTCGAAATTAACTTTATTGCCGTTCATTGTCTTATCCCATCCGTTTTTATTTTCCCAGTTGTTCCTATTAGCATTCCTCGAACGTAATTCTACTGTTTCCGTACTAGTGCCTTCAACAGCACGTGGACTTATCATTCCACCTGAAAACAATTAACAACAAAAAAACAGGCAAACTTCTACAGATGGCATCAACAACTTCGAAATTTTCAAAGAACTATTATAGCATCAAGCATTCTTCAAAATTTTAAATTTGACAATCTTCCATCCATAACTAAACAACTACCTCCGAAGTTCAATTTACCCTTTTTCATACGACAGCAAAAGTGAAAAACCTATTGATTTCAACAAACAAGGCATGAATATTTCCAGTATATCAGAATTGATGCTATTTATTTGGATTTAGTCTTATTTCTTCAAACTCCGTCTAAATTCTTCGTTTTGCTAAGACCTCAGAATACTAATCAGTTGACTCTCATGATTCGATAACGAGCTGCACAAATATTTAATCCCACACTGACACTCCGTGGAAAGCCCAGAAAATCGAGTTCTGACTGCAGTAAGAGGACTTTTAACACAACTGAGGGGTCATATTAAATCTTTCACTAGCGGTAAATTTCTTAGAAGTTGAAGTGAGGACAGCTAAAGCTGAAAGAAAGAGGTTATGGCATACTCTTTCGAGTCGTCGGTAAAGTTAAGGTATCGCCAACATCTGACCCGTGACGTGTCCCTGGCAATGCACGCGATGAAATTAGAACTGTGAGTGGGCGGGTCGATTCGTTGTGGGTGTGTGTGTTTAGTGTTCGGTTGAATGCTTTGCGAAGAACCGTTGGTACTGAACCGCACTCAGATGATCATTGGCGTGATTGACTGACTCTCCGAGCTAGTCCGATCGATGAGGCATAGCTAGCAGGAACAGGAGCCTAGAAAGTCCGACTGATATTGGCTTGGGTCAGGAATTAATTGGCCAGTCTCTCTTTTGAAACCATCCCGTACACTGCTATCACTCCTTTCACATCTTCAGTCATATTAAACAGAGTTGTTAATTCTTACTGTCATTGATGTCCATTTATTTCAGGTCAGAGACAAAATTTACATCTTTATCATGATAGCACGACGTTGCATAAAAGTGGCTACGGCGTTTCCACCCAACGTAGCTAAAGCCAGTACAAATGGCGTGCGTCGAGTTACACTAATTCCAGGTATTCCATTATGTTTTCTTTTTTCTTTGGGAGTCATTTTCCGCTTTCCACTGATTTTTGATACTGAGAAAAAATAGTTTTTATACAACATGAATTTAAGCTAAATAACTTTGCCTATCTTATATACCTGTCTTGTGTTATTATTTCGTTACGTTAGTTTTTCTTCAACTGACTGGAAATGTAAATTAAATTGCAAATTAATTACCGTTGCACGCAAGTGTTTCTCAATAGTTCGTAACCATTGGTATTGAAGTTATTAGCTGAAATTGTGGGTATTTTGTGTGAAAGGTTTTAGGAGATGGTGTCGGACCGGAAATTTCATCTTCAGTGCAAAAAGTATTCGAAGCAGCAAAAGCACCAATCGAGTGGGATCCTGTAGATGTTACGCCTGTCAGAGGAGATGACGGAATTTTCCAAATACCCCCGAAGTTCATTTTGCTCTTGTCTTTACCCTGTTGGACAAATTTCCCTTTTTAAATTCAGAACGAAATTCTTGTTGGGCAAAGTGATAAATGGGATGTTTACAGTTTTATTTCAGATGTATCGAACTAATGAGGGTAAACAAAGTTGGCTTGAAAGGTCCCCTAGCAACACCAATTGGCAAAGGGCATCGTTCACTTAATCTTGCTGTCAGGAAGTGAGTTGTTTGAGGAGATGAATTTGCTTTGGACGAATCAGGTAGACATTATAAGAAAGAATTATGGTAATGATAAATTGCAGAGAATTCAATCTCTATGCAAATGTGCGGCCGTGCAGATCCTTACCAGGTCATAAAACACTTTATGATGATGTCGACATTGTAACAATTAGGGAAAATACTGAGGGCGAATATTCTGGAATCGAGCACGAGGTGTTATATTTTGTATTGTTGAATTAAATTTCTCCTCATTTGGTTATATTTCGCTTTTTTGTCCTTACCTTTTTTTTACCGGAAACTTTGACTGCTGAAATGATGTTTACTTTACAAGTTGTGGACGAATTGAACATGCATTTGCAGACCAAATCTTCAATAAGTAAAACCATTAATTTTGTACAAGTTTTTTTCTTCATAACTTTTCAATTTAAATGCTCAAAATTTGAGCTTGTGTTCGTCATTGCAGACGATATATTTGCGGTATGAAGGGTTTTATTTTGCTTGTTATATGGTTTTCCACATTAATCACTTTGACTTCGTTAAATTGTCAAGCTGAAAGTTATGTCAAATCGATTTAAGTATTTCAGATCGTGAATGGTGTTGTCCAGAGCATTAAATTGATAACAGAAAATGCGTCAAGACGCATCGCTAAATATGCATTTGAATATGCACGAGTAAGTGGTCGAAAAATGTTAACTGCTGTTCATAAAGCAAATATAATGCGCATGTCAGATGGTCTGTTTCTGAATATGTGTCGTGAACAAGCCGCAAACTACTCCGACATAAAGTTCAATGAGGCATATTTGGACACCGTTTGTTTGAATGTGGGTTGCTTGTCTCCTTTTTCAGTTGCCTTTTTTTTGCAGCATTTTCCATCTCTTATTTGTATGAATTCTGGATGGTAGAAATTTTTGGTACTCTATATTTTAGATGGTTCAAGATCCAAGTCAGTATGATGTCTTAGTAATGCCAAATCTGTATGGTGATATATTATCTGACTTGTGCGCAGGTTTGATTGGAGGTCTTGGCGTAACTCCCTCAGGAAATATTGGTGAGGATGCAGCCATTTTTGAATCTGTCCACGGTACTGCGCCAGATATTGCTGGACAGGTAAAATGACATTTTAAATTATCATGAATAACATGTAAATGCGAACGTCTTTGTAAAAGTCATGTTTTTTGAATATTTATCAAGTATTGCAGAACAAAGCAAACCCTACGGCATTACTTCTTTCGGCCGTGATGATGCTGCGTTATCTGGAATTACCATCATATGCAGATAAGATAGAAAAAGTGAGTTCATTATCAATTCTGTTCTTACTTATTTTGATTGGGGGTAACTTTAACAACACAATTACAAATGGCCTTTCTTTAACAATAAATTGTTTGATATATTGCTCTACTTTTAATGATAGTTAACTATAATTCCTAAGGTTATGGAATCCCTGAAAATTACTTATTGCTCCAGGCCTGCTTTGATGCGATTAAAGAAGGCAATGAGAAGACTGGTGATTTGGGTGGACGTGGCACATGTTCTTCGTTTACCGATGATATCTGCAGACGTATACGAGATTTGGATTAATTTTATAATGTTCTCAATTCATGAATTGAGTTTTGGAAAAAATTTTTCCTTAGTAAGAGTGTGGTTTTCAATATCTAGAATGCAGGATTTTTGTAATTTGTCAAAGCCGTCAAATATGGTGTTGTTTAAAAAGTGTTCCTGTTTTTCTTTTGGTTTTTCCCGTAAGTTCCTTTTTGGTCACACAAATCTTGTTGAAAAAGATTCTTAGCTGATGAATTCACCTCAACAGATTGTGTTCATAATTTATTCATTTAAAACAGGCTATATTTCCACTAATAAATTATTTATTAAAAGTTGTTGTTGTAATTTAAAAACTTTGCAATGTAGATTTCGTTGATTTCGTTAAAGTCTATTATTTTATTTTGTTATATCAGCTTCACATCTTAGCAATGTTTCAAATGAACAGTTTGTTGCAGTAACTAGTAACAGATCCTGGGTGCACTCCACTTCCTAGTATGTGATTTTTGCATAGTTGTATTAATCGCTATTGTGCTGGGATTGAATTTTAGGACTTTCATCTTTAATTCTACGTTTTCTTTAGCAGGTCTTAGCAATTATCGTTCCCGGAAAAACGAAAATTTGAATTAAAAGGTAATTACTCTATCACTAGATACTATCCGAAACAGTGAAGCGTATTTGCTAATCATTGTTGTTAGTAATCACTTTGTCGTCATTCTCAGAGAACAGTTTATTTCTTATCCAATCAGTATTAACGAACATTTCGTAAGTACTGCTAACAGACTTTTGGGAAGGACATCAGAAGAGGATGTTTCCTTTTTAGGATTTCATTTGCAGTTTTTGGGCTTAATTTGGCATGTTCTGAGTTTTTCAATTTTTCCGACATCTTGTTTATCGGTTTGTGAGCCTTTGCTGTTGTAGATTATCTAGTAGATGCCGTTAATAATTCCTTTTGTATTCAGCAAAAGTTTTAAAATTCTACTCTTGAAGGTCCTAATCTTAAATTCGTTTTGTTTCTCTTCGACCCAAAATAGTGAATATGTGTTTCCAATTTCTCATAGCTTTTGAATTTTGATAGCTCATAAATGTATGTGAACATAAAATCACCTAACCTTCAAGTTGAGATTTACATTTCTATATTTATAAAAGAAAAGGAAGGGTCATTCCTTTGAGGGTAATCCTTTCCAAGCGAGAAGCAGAAAGGTTGAGAGAAGCGCTGCCACATAGGTAACAAACATATCAATTCTCATTTTGGTAACTCATCTGTTTATTGTGATTACTCTCGATTACTCTCTGATTACCCTCGTTACTCTCGACATGATTACGATTTGTTGTCCGTTTTTCTCATAAAACTGCATAACATGCGCATATTAGAGGTTTCTATGGTATTTTTCATGATAAGAAGTTGGGTTCGACTGAATACTTCGTGTGTTCGATACAATTTTATTCTGATTTTAACTTGAAGAACAGCAGTGAAATCACTGCTGATATAATACTTTGTTGGATATTTGCTATCATCGGGGTATTCATTGCTTTCGGAGTTGCATATTTTTAGAGTGAATAATTTTCTATGTGTTTATCTGAGAAATGATGATGCTGTAGTTTGGGTAGGGGACGAAGAGCGAACTTGAATGAATTCCCATCATTTATTGTGTTTGTCATCTTCGTGATCTTCAAAAAGTAGCTGTTGTAAAGAATTAAAAAAGATTTTTAGGTAATGGGACACAACGTCTCACTAATTTGCTCAGAGTCCCTTTTACAACCATTTGTTTTCCAGAATTGTTTCTGTTAAGTGTTTTGGTTCCTCCTCAGGTACGCTCGAATGTTCGAAAAGTCTATGGTAATTAACCCAATTAAATTCATGGTGCTTAATTCGCAGTCGCTGTTATCACTTTCCTCAGGTTACAATGTACATCGAGGATTATTTTTAAACTGTCGATAATTGCATTATAACAAATATAATTAGCATGCTGCGTTGGATGGAAGCCAGCTCTCTGAAAGCAGTCTTGAAACCGATATTTTGACAGCTGGCTCTTGTTCTTGGTTTAGTTTAGTCTTTTTTGTATGAAATAAGGAAGAGTTTGTGGTAACCTCAGGGAAATTCGATTCTCGTAAATATGATGTCCGTGAAACTCCAAGGACATTTTGAAAAACTACAAGGATATCTTTTTATTATAGCCACTAACTACTCAGTGCATTTTGAAGTGGTACGGAATTTGATCAGTGGATTACTGCTTTTCTGTACGGTCCCGTGCATACTTTGGCAGTGATATTTCGTTTTTCAACAGCAGTTCATCCGCGGTCATACACACATTTGGACAGTGATAGAGAAGGGCTTAGCTTATTGATTACTACTCAACTCTAAGGAGCTTCGTTGCCCTTTGTAAATGCCTTTGGCCTGTCTGCTATGATTTTAGTCATACTTTACATATGCCTCGTCTTGTCAAATTCAGTTTGTTGTTCTGTGTATGTTTAGACGAGACAATTTTACCTTTAGCATAATGGGAATCTTATTAAAAGACTGGAAATGTGTCTGTCAGAATAAATAACTTTTGTCTTCACAACTTTACATTAAGACAGTTTTAAGGGGATGAAATAAGGCTTAAATCGATGTTTTGATCCCATGAAGATGGGTGAAATTTACTGATGGTTGAACTAATCATAGCAAAATGTACATTTAGGGAAAATAATTATAAGGTAGATTATGCAAAACTCATCAGAAGAACATAAAAAATCAGAATTATATCTGAGTGTTTATTTCACATTTTTTTTCTTTTTTTTTCATCTCTGAATATTTATCTGACATCCCTGAACCAGAGGGAATACTGCAAGGGAATCTAACTCAGCTTTCATTTTATGTCATATATCTTCCTTGATTCTTCGTATTCTCTGATAGTATCTTTGACTTGGGTTTACTTGTTTATGAAAAAGTGGGTGAATTTAGCAAATTAAACTCAGAAATTGAAAAAACTCAGAAAAATCTTACTATCGAGATAACTGGGTCGTGTCACAGTATGGAACTTTAATAATCAGCTTTTTTCTGTGACTTATTCGGCACATTTATTAGTTTCTCTTTCGATATATGACGCAGCTTTCGTTAACACAAAAATTCTCTTCTCAACTTTATTTCAAAAACCAATTAGAAGAATATCCCGTGATGCAAGCAGGCCATCAATTTCTATTCCTGTTACCTGTATTCACAGTTGCAGAGAGTGAAATGGATGAACCTGGTGTCTGTTGCGCTTGAATTAGCCAGAGGCTGGCAATACTTGGAAACATTAATTACCTCCCTAATTCATTCTTTCCATTTCATGTATCTTCTGAAATCCTCGCTATAATATGAGAATGGCTGATGTCAACAACTGGATAACCGCATGGAATTATTATGCAGTATGACGTGCAAAATTTTGCCAAGTTCTCTTAGAGAAGTGCTGCTACAACGTGTTGCAGATCGACCAACTGAAATTATGTTGCAGGTCGACCAACTGAAATTACGCTTTTCCATTGTTTTTACGCACATATTAATCGTATATACCGTATCATTTGCGATGACAGTTATTTATAAGGCATATCATCCAATGGGAGTGATCATTACATGGTAACTAACCACTGGAGAGACTTTTTGTGCTTATGGCAAGATTATACACTTATCACGAATTTAGACATAGAACTAACTTCCATTCTGAGCTAATATACAAATAAAGAAGCATACAACTATGAGAGGTAAGGGAAAATGCAGAGAAAGTATAGGCCTTATTCAGGTCATTTCTTTACCATCCCTATTTATCTGTCGAAAATTACTTCAGAAGCTACTATTGCAGCCGCACTTATCACTAGGATACTTCAACTTTAATCTTCCATTGATACCACAATAGTACGCTAAGTGTAGTCTGATTTCCAAATGAGCATTATCAATGTTTTAATATTAAATGTTTATTCAACGCATTCGGTGGACAAGAAATTGGTGGAAATTAGTGATGGTTTTATGGTGTGTTGCTAGAAATGAAATTTTCATTTTTTACCGGCCATGAACTAAGTACATATTTACGACCCATATCATGAAGAGTATCGGACGTAAATATGTACTTCTTCATTCAGTATTTCAAAAATCCTATGTCCTCACCAAACAGCCAGAGTTCATATTGTAGCAAGTTTATGTCTTGTCACATTTCCACTGTAGAAATTCTAATTTCAAAAGTACTTGTCAGGCTAAGCTCTTACTAAGTTTCGTGATAACAAAAAAAATGAGTAGAAGTGTAAGATTTGTTAATATTAGTAACGTTTGATGACAAATACGAGTAATTGTCATAGGCGCAAGATTTAAAGAAGGTTGTATAAAGGAATCCTTTTATAATTAAAAATTACTATATTCCTGACAAATCATTTAGGAGGAATATGAAACTGAATTGTGATGCTTATCGTACGAATAGTGCTTACCACATATTTCACACTGATAGTCTTATTGCATCAGTGATAATGCTCATCTTTATTTCATTTTTTTTCTCAGTTTCAGTTATTTTAATTCCCTACAAACGGTGTTTTTATTTGTGTTATCAGCATCGAAATATGTTAGATCGTTGAGATATTATGTAACAAATGAATTTCATTAACGGGAGTGTTTAGTTAACTTTTTCATTCATTTCCACGAATTCTCTATGATCTGTAGACTGTCGGTTCGTGTGCCTGAAATTAGCGACAATCCGTAACCAGTATGTCTTTCTCTGGTTTGAAGAAACAACTAAACAAAGCGAATCAGGTACGTTTTTTATTGATAAATATGCAACTGGTAATGCTTTCAGTTCATTTTGTGAAGAATGATGTGATTCATATCCTTGCGGCACTTTATTTTTTAGTACATAATCGAATGTACTCTACTGCAATTGTTTTTTTTCTTTTCTTGTCTACGACTTCCAGCCGTTCACTGTTTAGCATGAGATCAGTAAAGAGGGTGCATTCAGTCGAACTTCGGTGATCCCTAATATGCATAACATATGGCTGCACTATAATTTTTTAAATTCATAGTGTTCTATTTTTTCAAAAACTTAAATTTAAGCTGTTATTTGGTGTCAATTTAGATGACGCAATATGACAAACATTTTGCAGTCTACAAAAAAAGAAAATTTTTATTTCCCTTGTTTTTGTCATTATGGGCTACTAAACATTTGTATGTTTGTTGGATAAGCATATAAAATTTAACACATAATGATAGTAACTGCTAGGAATTTCCCCATTTACAGTGTAAGAATATGAAGTTCTATTATTATATGTATGGTGTTATATGTAAGGTTTAGTACAAATTTCATATTCTGATATTAATAAATGATACTAAACATTTGTTTCTTGTTTATGTAGTATCTCAGCGAGACGATGGGTGCTGCCGAAGCGACGAAGCTGGATGAACAATACAATGAAATGGAACGGGTTTGCTATATACTGTGGTTTGCGTAGTTACTTTCTACTTTTATCGATACTCTGTGCTTTCCATATCCTATTGAGTTGATTAAATAATGGTACTAACGGACGTTATTTTAGCAGCAAAATCATACTTTGAATTTGGACCTTTTGTCATAATAATAATAATTTATTTATTGTCAATTGTAAACATGTTTGAACACTTATTATCTTTTTTTAAGAAAGTAGATCTGACGTACGAACTAATCAGTGCGTTAATTGCTGGAACTCACGAATTATTGCAGCCCAATCCAGGTAAGGGGAAAAGAGTTTTGGTAATCCATAACTTTCCACTCGTTACTGAACGTTATTTTTATCCTCCCTAAAATCGTGATTTCATTTTTTCATTAAAAAATTTGTTATTAGCAACTCGAGCGAAAATGGCCACGATGGGAGCTTTGTCTAAAGTGCGCGGAACATCGAAAGCCCAACCATATCCACAAACCGAAGGCCTCCTAGCAGATACCATGCAAAAATATGGAACAGCCTTAGGTGCAGATTCGGATCTTGGAAAAGGTTTGAATTGAGTTCATTCACATTTTATTGGATTTTGTTATTTTTTGCTAGCTTTGATTTTTGCTTTAATATTCATGTTTCAGCTTTGATCGATGCTTCGGAAGCTTACCGTCAATTAGCTGATATTAAATATCAAATGGAGGATAGTGTGAAACATAATTTTTTGGATCCACTGGCTCATTTGCAACAAACTGATTTAAAAGAAGTTAATGTTCGTTTTTGGAATGTTTTTTTATTATAATTTGAAATGCAGTTTGCAGTTACTCGTTTCTTATCAGATTATTGTTCCAGTATCACCGAACAAAACTTAAGGGTCGACGTCTGGATTACGATTGCAAGAAGCGAAAACAAACACGGGGTTAATTATTTAATTATTTACTTTGCGCAAGGGTTTGCTTTGTTCTGCAATAGTTGAAAAGTTTTCAAAAAACATGACTTTTACAAAGATGTTCGCATTTACTATTATTCATGATAATATTTTTTTGTGGTGTGAGATCAAGCAGTACTGGAGCATAAGGTAACATATGTTTCATAGATTCAAGCAAAGTAAAAATGCATTGGAAAAAAATGAAGGAAGCTGGTAACTGGTAAAGATTAAATAGTGTTGAACTACCTGGTATCAAGTAGTCCAAGGTCTTTCCTAACAATACAGCTTTACCTAATATCCACTCATCACTAATAAATACATTGTACCTGCAAAAACGAACGATCACACATATATTCTATCGCTTCATGCTGTTAACTGTTGTAAAAGATTTTTGAGAAGTTAATTTAATAATTTAATACAGTTGTCGATCAACTAAGAGCTTTTATTATCCAGATGAGGAATTGATTCAAGCAGAGGACAAATTGGAAGAGTCAAAGCAGTTAGCAGAACAAGCTATGTATAATCTATTAAGCAATGATGTATGTGATATCATTTTCAGTTAAATTTATTTTTTGTGGAATTTGATCTCTTAACATTGTAAAGGAAGCAAAAGTCTATCGTGGTTATGTTCATTCTAGTCTGTTGATCAAATTCGATGCATAGTGAGATTTAGGTTGAACAGGTGACTCAGCTCTGCGCTTTGGTCGATGCGCAGTTGGATTTTCATCGACAAACTACGCAAGTGTTAGAACATTTGAAGACACAGCTGAATGAACGGTATTTCTTCACAGTCATCACTTTGGCGTAGACATTATGTTGAATAAGCCATTTCAATCATGATTTTATTGAATGAATAATACAACACAAATTTTAGAGTTATAGAAGCAAGCACTCGACTGCGTGTGGAGCATGTCATCAAGCCTGTTTTAGCAGACAGAGTACCTAATTCTCGGTAGGTTTTGTTCAAAATATTTTACAGTTGGGGCAGGACATTTTAAACTTATTGAAAGTCATCAGCAGACGAATCTAAGAAAAATAATATTGCATCGACTGTAAAATACTTTTCGCTTCATAGATTTTCAAATTAGAAAACTTTCCTGGAATGAACTTTTCCATCAACTTCTGTAAACGGATGTTTTAAAAGGATGACAAAATTGCACTGCAGATCTCCAGTACATATAGAAAATTCGACTTCAGTCAGCACCGCCATTTTTCAATCACCTTCAGTAGCATCCTCCATGTTTCCACAAAAACAGACAGCAGAGAGTGGTGATTGGAGTTTGAGTGCGAAAACCCACAACTCAGCGATCAACTTTGGTGACACGAGTACATCACCTTCTGCTTTACCTGTTAAACCGTCTTGTCGAGCCTTATATGATTTCGAGGCACAAAATGAAGCTGAGCTGGATTTCAAAGAAGGTGACATTATTAATTTGATCTCACAAATTGATGAGAATTGGTACGAAGGTTCACTGCTAGGAAGAACCGGTTACTTCCCTATATCTTACGTTCACGTACTTGTACCACTATAATTTCTTTTCATGCTTTTCATGTCACTAATTTCAATTTAATTCCACTTAAAACGAGATTTCATATCTGAATTCTATCCCGAAATTTGAGAAGTTTCTAGAGATGTAGAAGTGTCGTTATCACATCGTTTCGAGATTTCCAATATGCCATGTTGCAGTATAGATTCAAAAAAAATCTTAAGAAATTGATCAGTTCTATCGGTTTAAAAATACCGAATTGCCATAAGTTGTCACCAGTATGGTAAATTGAGGTTTTTGTAATGTTTATAATACAGGGAGAGTAACAGGGAATTTTATAACTAGCTTAAGAGTTGATCAATTCTAGTTACATAAAGCCAATTGTTGCACAATATCATGTCGATATCAGTTAAAGTAATTCATACTACTTTACCGAGTGTAATTTGATGCCTTTGACGATTTTCACTTTTACGCCTTTTCAAATATTGTTCACATCCGTCTTACTCCACTTCATTGGCGTCAATTACATGCGAGGTCCTTTGCAGACATTTTGCTTTCTTTGGAAATACTGAACAGTGGTATTACCTGTACCTGGTATTTTAACACTCATATTTATTTATTTGCATATTAGTCATTGGATGTAGTTCTGTAACCTCTTTGTATTCCCAACATTTACTGGCACCTTTTCTAGGTCAGAATAATGAAAACCAGCAGTTCTTTTTCAGTTTTGAAATCAAACGGTCGTTTTCCTTTATTGATTGCTTTATTTCGAATTTGGATGTTATACCCAGATTTTTTGTTAGAACTCATACTTAGAAAAGAAAAAAACTATCTTCAAATATTTATGAATTTTTATTGGGTGTTTAGTTACACTGAAGAATATGCTATTCCGTAATATCCTAGTTTTTTTCGTCTGTTAGAAAGAGGTTCCATGTTCGGAGCTTCTTTGGAAGAGTTGAGTCAAAAGTAGACATGCATACAATTTTTTGCTAAAGAGTTCCGCATAAAAATTTTGCTCTTTTTAATAACCGTTCATTATCTTTTTACTCAAGACATTTCATGTCCGTAACGGATCATTTTCTTTCTCATCAAAGACTGAATTGCTGCAGTTTCATTTTTTTGATTCCTTAGGGATATGAATGGAGTGACTTTAATGAGTAAACACACTGAAACGAATACAGATTTACCACATTTACGGAGCCATAATTGTTTCCGAAATCCCAACATCAAAGCTGCTCCAGTGATATATATTTGGGTGAATATCCTCATCTAGCTTTCTTCAGTGCTTTTTATCACAGAAGAAAGTTGAGGGATTAGAAAGATACCGAATATCACACAAGAAAGTTGAGGAATTAGAAAGATTCAAAGGGACCAGTTCTGTACTAGTTTGTTTCTGAAAGTCGGGTTTAAATCATACTCAAATAATGAAATGAATGATAAATACATACGCAGTGTATTAGTCGTTTTATAACATGGAACAGACTTAAAGGTTGGAAGATTGTGACGAAACAGTTTCTATCTCCACTAATTAGTTGAATTCAGCATCTGTCGATGTTTCCTTCTAAGAACTTCTTGTTGCTGTCCAAGGATTCTCAAAAAATGTTGCAACAATGGTTTGAAATCCACCTTTGCGTTCAACTGACTCTCTTTCTCTTCCCTCAAGTAGAAGGGTTTAAACGATGAATCGCCGAGAATTGTTAAAAACCCCTCACTTAAAAAAAACTTAATTTTTGGAGCAATTAGAGCAAACTTTACTGAAAACTCCATATTACTGTTGAAACCTCCTTAAGCATTCAGCTCTTGCTTTTTAATGGGTTTATGCTAGTAATTTTGCTAAATGCTAGTAGTGAACAAAACAGTTATACTTACTCGTGGACAATAACAGATGGAATACACTGTATCCGCTTATGTAATGTATTGAAAGCATCGGTTTGAGGCAATATCATTAGGAGAGCCGAAAGAACAGCTGTGAGAGGTCGCTGGTGTTTGGCATCCAATAAATCAAGTCGTACATCTAAAGCATTTTTGGGTGTTGGTTCTAACTTCAAGCAAAATTTAATGCCAAATTTGAAGTTAACCAGTAAAGCTACTCAACCAGCTTAGAACTCTAATAACATAGAAACTGCGAGTCCGGAACATACATGAAAGTATAGGGCTTTCAATAAGCTGCACAAGTCGGTCGATTTCAATTAATACATCAACTGTAACATCGACCTTCCACAGATGCCGCGCCAATACGCTTGCATGCTCGTAGTTTTGCGACAATACACACAAAGCAAGCAGTGCGATAGGTTGGAAGGCCCAGGTACGATACAAAGATTCGAAGAGATTCACAGAATCCTTAAAACTTTGAATTATTGCTCTCCTGGAAAAGTATATATTTAAATGATTGATGGTCATGTGGCAAAAATTGATTATGCGTAATTAGAGATGCAGGGAAGAAACTTACTTCAGATTCCAGCGTCCTTAATTGATTCCTTAACTCGAACAGTTCACTGGAAGTGAGCAATATCCCATTCAGTAAAGCAACCATTTGAGATACAAATTCTGTATCACTATCTTTTAATAAAAGAACCGACAAGCAGCGATAAATGGATCCGGAACCGAGCAGAATACACAACTGCCTAAAAAAATATTCACGAAACTGTTGAAGCAACATCCTATGAAATTTCTATTTTCAAAATGGAAATATTCCAAAAAGTTCCAGGGTACCTGACGATCAAGACACCTCTATCATTGAGCAAGGCCGTATCACTTCGAAACATTGCTAATAAGCTTGACGTGAATTTCACTAAATATGGTGATATGCCCGAAAGCTAAAACATTAACATCTTTACAAAAATGTAAAGAGAAAAGGAAAAAGGCATCTTCCCTCTTATGATTTTTTTCGGTAGTCACTTCTAGTTCAACTAGAAGAGATAAAAAGACAAAAACAAGTCAGTGATAAAACCTAAATGTAAAAGACCTGCTTCAAGGTATGTTCATCAAGATTAAGCTCCTGCAGCTCAACACCACTAGTATTTTTGCCTTCACATATGTCGGAAAGTAACTGCAAATCCAGCAATAACACATCATCGCATGTATCGGATAGTAATGAAAGCAATACTGGGAATACACGATCCATGTACGAAAATAACTGCAAACAAATTCCCTTCAAGTCAAAAACAAGAGGGAATTTTTTTTTTCTTTTTACTAAAAGAAATAACATAAAGATTCATGAACTGTCACTGATTTCTCTTAACTAAAATGACTAGTACAGGTCCCAAACCCCAAATGATTAATTAGTGTACTAGCAAAACAAGCTATCCAAATAAGTTCATTTGTGAATAAATAATACGGTCTCAGACACTTCAAATGCATGAATAACATCTAGGAACCGTAAATTACTATTAGAAAACTAAAAAATTTTCGAAGGTAAGTCAAAACAAAATCCACAAGTATTTTGAAAGACCTTTTCAACCATACATATCGCACTTAATAAAATCAAAACAGAGAACATTCCTCCACAAAATATATTCATAACGGTGAAAAAGAAAGTTACTTTTGCAGGTGCGGTAATGTGCATTCTACTGATCCAATTTAAGACAGCCATCCTTGTATCGCGAAATTCATGTTTGATATGCTTTAAAAGTACTTTAATAACGGCATCGTATTCGATATTGGCATTCTCCGACAACAATTCCATTAAATGAGTGTTGATCTCTTTAGCTGAAAAAAAAAAAATACGCGACTCATAACATTCAACGAATTTTATATTTTGAAGAAGACCAAGAAGCAACTTTTTCATTGCTATTCATTTCACAACATGCAAAACGAAATCTCTGAAATGAGGCGCTTAATTATATCAGCATCCCTCTGTTAAAAAAACCATTTACTTCGAATTTGAGCTTCATTCAGTTTAGCGCAAACACTAAGCTGTCCACTGAATATCCTGTGTGTGAATGAATAAGAGAATATAAACTCTTCAATACTAACTACACCGTATCCAAATGTTCGATATGGAAATTAGCACTAGCAATAAAGCACTGCTATTAGGATGTCGAATAACATATATGTTTATTACTGAAAGTATACATATATTCTAAAAGTCCCGTTATTGTTTATATGTAAAACAATACAAACCTTTAAG